GAAAGGACTATATGATTTTAACTGTATATTTAAGACAAAACTTTAGTTTCAAAAATACTATCATAAAGGAGCACTACCAAGAACATAAGAGCAAAAGAGTAAATTATGCAGACTTACATGATTTCCTTGAACAAATACTTAAGTGTGATTGGTTTGACTGGATGATAGTGTGTGTGTGTATATATATATATATATATATATATATATATATATATGTATATATATATATTTATAAAGCTATATATTCTTAAATTCTGCAAGAAATTTAACAAAACATATCAAATATCTTTGTAAATAATGTGGAAAATTTAGATTGCACTGTTGGGTAGGTTCTTAGCTATATCATAATGTCAACTGTGAAATATAAACTAGGGGGAAAAGGACTATTAAGAATGGTTTGAAGAACATGATAAAAATCTGTAAGTGACAAAGAAAGCATGAAGCTAAAAAGCATAGATGTGATGATGAAAAATGAAGTCAGACAGTAATGGACAAACAGAATCATAATACATATTTAATGAGAAATCAATTAATTGAACAATCAAGATTGACTAAACTTAGTGCCCTATATTTAAATAAAAGCAAACAAATATAAATAACATAAGTATAGTCTTAAAGAAAAAGGCCTACCACCTTTTATCTGTAACAAAGAAATCCAAAGTCTTTGAAAGTGCTGTTCCCACTGTCTCTCAGACAAAGGACTTCTATCCAGAACATATAAAGAACTGAAAAAACTCAGATTCTCCAGATTCAAAGACCCAATCCAAAAATGGACATCAGAGATGAATATATATTTCTAAGTTGAAGAAATGCAAATGGCAAATAAACATATAAAAAATGTTCAACATCACTAGTCATTTGAGAATTGCAAATTAAAACAACACTAAGATTCCATCTCAACCCAGAAAGAATGGCCACTATCAAGAAATCAACTAGTAACAAATGCTGGTGGGATTTTGAGGAGAAAGGGAACCCTTCTGGACTGTTGGTGGAAGTGTAGATTGATACAACTTACGGAAATCAGTGTGGCAATTCCTCAGAAAACTAGGTTTTTAGAGGTCCCATTTGACTCAGGTATTCCCCTTCTGCATATTTTCCTAGATGGATTAAAAACATCATACTACAGTGATATATGTGCACCCATATTTACAGCAGCACAATTTGTAATAGCTACATCCTGGAAACAACCCAAATATCCATCAACTGACGAATGGTTTAAAATGATGTGGTACTTTTGAGCTGTGAGAGCAAGCCATGGGCTCTCCAGGGACAGAACAAGTCAGCATTTCCCAAGAACCAGCCATGCCAGAACTTTGGGGACCAACCCAAAGCAATGATCTATCCTTCCTGGTAATTGGCACGTGAGCCTTGGGCGCACCAGGGAGATAAATAGTGTCTCCTATGAGCCTACAACAGGCTCCCCACAACCCACCACCAGTAAAAAATGCACGCTGGATGATTTTGAGGTCAGCTGGAGTTGATAGCAACTAAGGTACATAAAGCAACTAAATGCTTGTATTGTTTGGTTGATTATGCTGATCTGGGGCCAGAGGTCTGAGCATCTCTTGGGAGGATGCAAAACAGCGAATGTGGGGATTTCCTTCTATCATTTCTGTAAAGGCCAATATTGCTTTCACTGTTTTGCTTTGTTCTGATTAATTGTTTTGCTCTATTCAATATTCTGCTTTGATTGGTTTTGTAGTGTTCTGTTTTTGGTTTGATTTTGCTATACCTGATTGAATGGACAATTACTGTGAAGACTATGGTACTATTACTGTTATCCCAGTATCCTGCCCTGAAGTTCTGTACCAATTTCACTGCCTTGTCTTGATTGGCTTTGTTCTGTATTGTTTTGTTGTATTTTACTACCTTTTAAAATAAAAAAAAAAAAAGATGTGATATTTTTATCTAATGAGGTACTATTCAATTATAAAGGATAAATTTGCTTTTATAGATAAATGGATTCAAGTAGAGCCCATACTCTTAAGTGAAATTAAACAGAACCACATTCGTTAACATAACATTGTCTCTCTAGGGTAAGAAACTGAAAAAATAATAAGACCCAATACAATACATACTGTGAAAGGGAAAGAAACAGCTAAAAGTGAAGAACTGGGATGGGTAAAAGGATAAAAGAAGGAAGAGAAAAAGAAAAAAAAAAAATATATATATATATATATAAAAGATAGCTAAAATAATAACAGTACTGATTTCTCTTAGAGGAAGAACTGTTTGTGCTTATATTGTTTAACCAATTATGTATGCTTTTCTATTGTAATCTAAGTAACTACTTTGAAGATAATAATACACAATACATTAACCATTATCAATTTCCTATTATCTTGGCTTTGAAATTCTATATCTCTGTTTTATTAGTTTATTTTCTCTTTAAAATAAAATTTAAAAAAAAGAAAGTGCTGTACTGGAGATCAAACTCACGACTGCCTGCTTACAAAGCAGGCGCTTATGCCGCTGAGCTAAATCCCCAGCCCCTGAAAGTGCTGTTCTGATTGTCATCAAAATACATTTGGAAGCAAAGCTTGAACTGAATTAACATGAACTATTTATAATGTCCATTTACTCTTTTATAACATATACATACATAATATTACATAACAGTAAAATATTTGAATAATATGATTAAGACTTGTTGTTTTATATAGTATATGATATACAGCCCACATCAGATTCCTAAAATGTGAAAAATGTTGAATTTTGAAACAACTTGATTTCAAGAAAGAATGATTTTGGTCCTATTTTAGATAAAAGTGTAACCAACTTGCTGAGACATAAAGGAAAATATGAACTACAAGTATGATTTCATTCATAGAAAAATAACAATTGAACTTGCCAGGGAAACATGTGGAATATTCTACCAGTATAATTTAAGAAGAATGGTAAATTAATCTAGTATCCAACAAGGTGCTTACCATATGTTCCATACTAGATGAATATTTGCTGAATACATGAATGATTACAATGCATCATTTTAAAAAAACAAATATGCTAATTTATCCAAACTCAAAGATTTTTCCTATTCCCAATGAATCATTCAGTACTCTGGTTTTAACCTACATCTCCCAGATTATCTAACAGTCTATAAATCATTGTGCTCTTTATGTTTTCAGTAACTTTGCTCATGATACCTAATCTATATATAAATTTTTCTTCTAGCTCTACCAGTTAACATTCTTCCCATTTTCAAAGGAGAAGGGTTTTTTTTTAAAGATATCTTTTTAGTCTTACCAAGGAGGGTTAATTTTTTTCCTCATATTCACATTATATTACAAAATAAATCTTATTTTTGTATATTTCTTGTTTCTCAAAGAAATTTTAAATTTCTTCAGGGCAAAGGCTAAATGTGTACTCACCCTTCAATATTACCAGATGCCACTACTTTCATATGCATACTTCAAATACTGAATGCTAAACACTGATTTGAATCAAAATGATTAGGAACAATGAAAGGCTGCAAACTAGTTCTTAGTGATAATAACTGAAAGAGCATAAAACATTAGCAAGAGTTTGGGATCATTTTATATTGTTTTCCTGATTAATACATCTTTGTGCTAGCTGAATGCCCATGCATTAATAAGGTGGAAATTGTTGAATGAAGTGTATAACCAGAAGTAGAGAAAAGTAAGATGGTACAAGAAAACAACTGTGAACACATGAAGTGAAAGTCTAGCATGTTCAAGAGGAAGAAGAGTTATTTTATGTTGCTCCAAAAGCACTAACTGTAGATACACAGAAATTTAAACAAAGGCATTAATTTCATCACAGAAGGATCTTGTACTAAGAATTACAATGACTGGATAATAAAAGAGGATGCTTCATAAAACAACTAGTTCTCTCTACCAATGATCCTAGCAAAGGTCAACGAGGTTGCAAAACATTTTCTACAATCATATTTCCTAAATGGTTGAACTGCAATAGTTTTTAATTTAACCCAATTTTACAAAAGTAAAATTTTAGATTTAGATCCTTTTATACTATACGGACTTCTACCTGTTTTATATGGTTTACGGTAAATATAATTTATTTTCACACTATAAAATAAATACTAATTTCATCAATTATTTCATACTTTAAAAAAAAGAACAATGTATCAGGCCTGAAAGAGACTAAAGCCCTTTGAAGCTGATGTATGAGGTGCTCCAACCTTGCCAAAACAGTACAGAGACCAGGTTGTCACAAAATGAATCACCTTAATACAATATCATGAACAATATTGTGTCTTTGAACCAAAGCTCCCTATTGTATCATATGCAAAGGTTTTGAACGGTCTTTCTTAAATTGATATATGAGGAAATAGTGTAAACCATTAAAGGAATTAGAAAACTACAATAACTAGCCAAATTTTGAACACTAAATAGCATTAAATAAATTCCCTTGATGGGCAAAAATACATATGGATACATATATGTGTATCTCTCCCTAAATATATCACTATTACAGATTTCTACAATGTTTTATAACTTCACGGTCACCTTCATATTTTCAACAAATTATGGTACACCAACTGCAGAAGGCAAGGAACATATCTATTGCTAAAGAAAATGTGGTTCTGGGTATTTCCTCTATGTCTTCTACTACTAAATGCTAGACTAAAGACTGCCTGTCGTTACTAATTGTGAGACTGTTGATACCAGCAGATAAAAATTCAGAACACGGTGTCTTCAAAGCCAACGGCTGAAGTAATGGTTATGCTTATTAAAGTATATGTACAAATAGCCATAATTTTTGTGAATTACTTGACAAGGGTATAGTGTGAAACTGCAGCTTGAAGATACAGTCTAGGAAATTCTTAGCAGAATTTATTAAGCCCCTCATGTAACAGGAATTTGCACTAGAAAATCATAATTCCTACTGCTTGAGGAGCAGTAGGAATTATAAACCCTTGCATGAGGAGCTTCAACATTATTTTTATTAATATTTCACTTCTCTCATTTTACTGACTTAGCAGCCAGCTTTTGCACAACACATGCCTACATACAAACCTCATCTCCTTCCTGAGGTCGCATCAAGGAAACCCGATCATATTGTCGCCGCAACAAAGCCCAGAGTGCGTCAAGACGACCCTAAAGAAAATGAGATTTGAGTTACCAGTGAATGTAGACAACCTCTACTTACTGAGTATATTAAGAAGGCAAAGTCTTATTTTCTACCTTCATTTCTCTTATAGATTCAACAAACAAACAAAAACTTGGAAGTTCTTATGCTGAGGAAGTGTTGACAGAAATGAGTAACTGCTCTCTGGTTGACTCAGTCCTCTTTTGAATTATGAGGGGAGTAGAGGCTGTAAAGCTATCGCTTCGCTAAGAGGTTTAAATTCAGTTACATCAAGTACCTTGATTGGTGTGTACCACTTGGTCTGGGGGGGCTGGTGTGTTGGGGGGGCTCGAGGTGGTCTCGGCCTAATGGGTTCCTCTTCTTCTTCAGGAAGCGTCACCACAGCATTTTTGGCTTTCTCTAGCCTTGCACCTTCCTCAGTAGATCCTTTGTCACCCCAGCGAACCTGTAAAACAAAGCAGTCACTGCTATCAGGCAGAAAGTGACATGGGAACAAGCTCTTATGTAGCCCGTGGTCCTTTCGTTCACCATCTCAGAGTAAAAAGAAAATGATTACGTAACTCCTAATTCCTTCTCTGTTGATATGTCACCATTCTTTCTTATTCTTAATTTTAAGATCTCAGACCAAAAAGACTTTTGTAAAAATATGGAGTCAGTTCAACTGAACACAGCCATGTCTGCATAGCTGTGAATAGAGTCAATTTGTACTGTAATAGGAAATGTAGGACAGTATAATTAGGTATGTAAATGTCAATAATTGAATTAATTGAATGATTACACTGTATCAGTCTGCATTTAATCCACTCAAAAACATAATGAGATTGATACCATATTTTTTTTTTCTTTCAGATGAGGGAACTGTGGCACAGGCAGATTAAGTGAGACTCCCAAAGCCACTGAGCTGGTAAGAGGCAGCGTGAGGATTTGAACATAGGCAATCTGAAATGGGTTAGTGAGTTTCAAATCAGTTTGAACTTCATAAATGTATTTTATGCATAGGAGTTACTCTGAAAATTTTTATCAAGTTTGATGATAAAAATATGACTAAAATACTCAGCCTTTGCTGTGAATGTAATCTCATAAAGTTTTATTTGATAAAGCAATTTGTAAGTCTCCAGTTCCTATGACCATTTAAGCATAATTACTCAAGTGAATTTTCACTGCAAAAGACAGATTGGCAAAGATTTTGAGGAGAAAAATTCAGAGACACCAAAGAACTCCATAGATTTAAGCAAATTTTGCTCTCTAAAAATTCTTGACATGGAAAAGCCACAAGATCAAATTGTCGTTTTACTTTTCAGTTAGCAAAAACAAGAGGTTAAAATGCAAACAAACTAGGTGTATGAACAGAACTTAGCCCCTGGAGAAGGGTTTTGTCCAACCAGGAGCAGTAGAGAAGTCAGGTAATAATCAAGGATGCTGTCCAAGAGGACAAAGCAGAGAGAAGTGCAGCTCTAAGACAAAAATGCAAAGGCCTCTTCACAGTTCATGCTGGCACATAGTTAAGTGATGACTATAAAGGAAATATTAAAGCCTTCTTAAGCACTTTAATGACCTGAATTAGAGGGCAGGGATACAGATGATTACTGTTCACAGAAAGGACTATTCATAGCTATTTGATAAGGCTCACTTATATGTTTTTGCCTTTTTTAACTACAATTTTAGAATAGGCTTTCAATTTCAAGTAGGCCCTCTTGACTCATTAAAATGTATCTGTATCTTTCGGTGTGATCAATGGTACTGGAATGTTCTTTATGAGGTTATTAAAATTGTTTTAAAAACCATTAAACCTTTAGAGCTAGATAGTTGGGCTTTCTTTCCAGAGAAATGACCTCTTTCAAATCACAGTGTCTTCACCTAGATAAACTAACACTTATAAAATTTTAAACATAATTAAAATGATTAAAAACTCTAAAACCAGGATAGATTCCTTACAGTTACAATGTCTTCATTGTAAGGGGGAAAAAATAAAATGAGTTATAGTTAAGTAAACATGAATGTTATAACCAAGAGAAATAACTCAGAGTAGAAATTTAAGCAGATAACATTTAGATCCATTCAGCAATGATAGATTTTAATATGTACAGCTCCCTAGCCTATCCTTCCCAGTTGGTGTTTGAGGAGGTCATGATAATTAGATTCTTTCAAATGTTACTGGCACCATTTTCAGATTGAAAATTTGAAGATAGTTTAACAAGATTTCTGCTCAATGTGGCCCTTCTAGGATCTAATTATTAAAGGGCTAAGTTTATAGTATATGGTTGCTGAAGTCTAAGAAAATGGGTTAAATAAACTAGTTGACTCTAGCTCATGGAGGAACCGTTTCATCTCTACCATCAAGGTCACTACAAACATCACCAGGAATAATTATCACTCACTCAACCTGAAAGTCTAAACTTAGGAAGTGCTTTGTAAAGGTTTCCTAAATCTCAATAAATACAGAATCACAGATGTATATATGTAAATCCTAATGTTTTAGTTTGACCACAATTGATATAGTTAAAAAGATTAATGGAATGTCAGGAATAAAAGGAACCTTAAAAGAAATACATATCTCACTTTTTATTATGGAAAAGCATATAAAGTACAAGCTTGATAGTTAAACTGTCCTACCTCGGCTGCTTTGGCTTTACTTAAGAATAATAGAATTCCATCATTTCCAGAGCACATTTGAATGACCAGGAGATTATATTACAGCAAAACAGTTTCAGAATCAAGAAAAGAAACAAAAACATTTTCACACGGAATTGGCAAAAACATGCACTTGAAGTACAGTAATTAAGTACTGTGAATCAGTTGTGCCAATAGCTATTATTAACATAGCCCATTTCCAGCTTTCTGTAAGTTCCCATTGCCATAATTTTTAAAATATTTAATTTATAGGAGGAATAAGATTAAACAATTCTAGATTAAATCTCTACACTGGCTTAAAATAACTTTAGTAATGAAAAGTTGTTCTCATAATTTCTAGAATTCATTTTACTTTCCCCAGTTTAATGTATTTTTTTAAAAGAATTTTCCAGGTTTCAAAAGGTATGCTTTAAGACAAATAATTATTTATGTCTTTCTCTTTCTAAAATTTAGGTAAGTTTAAGTTTGAGAAATATATGATGATGCTTAATTGTATGATGGTGCTTAATTCTCTGTGTTGTGTATTTTTATAATTGTGTATCTCTTTTGTAATTTCTGCCTTTGCTTTCCCATTTTTAACTCATTCTCATTTCCATCTCACTAATGAAACATTCCATAAATGAGACCAAAATTATCAAAATCTAAAATGGACCCCGACTCATTAAAGGTTAACTGAATATTTTTCACAAATTTCTTCAACTGAAAAGGATGAGTAAGCAATATACTTCTCATATTAAAAATCAATAACTTTTAAATTTGTATTATGGGCATGCAGAATAGGCATGTGCTTTGCTTGCTCTTCACCAGAAACCAACTGCTGTATTTTGGATCTGGAATGGCCCTGGAAGGCTCATGTTTTAAAAGAAGCCCTTAATGCGGCACTGTTAGGTGACGGAAACCACTGAGAACCGGGGGCTAGCAGGAGGGACTAGAGACCTGGAGTTGCACCCTCCACGAGGACTCTGAGATGCTGGTCTCTTCCTTCCTCTGTTTTTACTTCAGGAAGTGAGCCAGTCGCTCTTCCACATGCTCTTCACTGTGATGTTCTGCCTCACCACAGCCCCATGAGCAACAGGGCCTGCTGATCATGGCCACAATTCCCGGAACTGTGAACCAAAATAAAACCTTCCTCTCTTTCAACTGTTTTATCTCAGGTGTTTGTTACGGTAATGAAAAATCAACTAACAGAAAATAATGCTTCTTCTGGCAGGATCCATGCAGGGACTTATAGGTATTTTTTTTTTTTTTTTAGAATTCAATTTTTGAAATATGGAGTATTAGACTAACAAAAATTAATTATTATTTTTATTATCCTCAGCAAGAACATTATTTATTCAAGAGTCACATAACCTTACCTCATTCTGATATATGTTACATGTGTGTATTTCAATACGGATTATAAACATAAATTAGTATACACTAATGCCAATAATTCCATCACTTTGTGAGGGAGAGGTTCATGATTCCCACATTTGAGTACTACCTGAATAATTTAGTGAAAACTGTCTCAAAAAGTAAATAAATAAACTTATATAGGCCTAGGGATGTAGCTCAGGTCAAAGGCCCTGAATTCAGTTTCTCATCCTACAAAACAAAACAAGAAGAAAGAAAAAATAAAAAGGATATGTTCATTAGGAAAAAACAGAGGACTACATATCACACATTTAAACTTACTCCCCGCAAAAATACCTACTCATGTTTTGATGTAACTATCATACGCTATTTTCTTTTGCATTCATCTCTTTATATACACACATTTTGTAACAAAGCAAAGCAAACTGAAAGCATTTTATGATGGGTCATCTTTGGATACTTGGACATAACAATTTTACTTATAAGTATAATTTCTACACACAGAATAACACCCAATCCACTCTTGCCCCACTTCTCTGTGCCTGCAATGACAGAAAATGTAGAAGGGGAGAAAAATAGCTTTTTCTCTTGCATTGCTGTGACTCTCAGTTACTCTATGTAAATATGTGATATTTGGGCTACCTTCTCCCCAAGTCCATCTTAGTAGCTTCTAGCATCTGCCTCACACAGTGGCTACTTGGCCATGAAAGACCTGTCTCAGAAGATACTTCAGGAATAAACAGGCAAGCTTCTAGGGGAAACGGGCATTATTTTACAGTCTAGTGTGGTTCTGTCACATGAATAAACACTTCAATAATTCTGAAAAGGGAAAACTCTCCGCAGAAATCTGAATTTTATTGAAATGTATGAAAAGAGAGACTGTAATCCTTCTGGGATTGTTAATGACCTTACTGATACTTGGTGGCAGGAATGGGACAAAACAGATATGACAATAGGAGACATAAGATATGATGGCAAAGACATGAAAACACTTTCTTATCAAGAAGTAAAATTAAAGACCTAATGAGAACATGCAAGCGTCTGAGTTGAATGATACAGCTATTTTATCAATGAGAAAATTTCTCCAAGTGCTCCATGGGATGGAATGCTGACCTCTCTGCATTCTTGTTAAAGGATCAGTTCTGGCAATAACTTCTTCTTATTATTTAATCCATCACTTCAAACATATTTTATGGTGATAAGAAAATCTTATTTGATTTTTAAGATACAATATTAAAGTTCAATTTTATTCAACTTTGAGTCAGTCTGAAAGTTCAATGCATTCTATAAATACGTAATATTCATTAGAATACTTCATAAGCAGTAACTAAAAGGTTTTTTTGAGTTTTAAATACACTTTGCTCTCTATTTGTGACAAAGTCATATTCATGTCACTGAATATTTCATCATTTTGTCTTTAAAGAGTTACTATTGAATCTTTTCAAAAAAGAACATTGTTGCAACTTTAAGGATCTCACTTTTTCAAAATTGTTCCATGCTCTAATTTTTTCCAACGTTATGAGAAAAACCCTAGATTTTTTTTTGTCCTTTAGAATTCAAAGAACTTATCAATGTACTCCTTTGACTAATGAAATCAGTTTTTGAATGATTTGAAACAGCGAGGCTGAATCATACAAAAAGCTGTATTCAGAAAATACCCATAGTTGAGTAAAAATGGATATTATGAATTATGAATTGAATTGTGAAAGGCATTTTTTCCACAGCTTAATAATCTTAGAAATACACATACCAGATTAGCAATTTTTAGGATACTGACCTCCATTCTTTTAATTCCTCCAACCCCTCGGCCACCATAATAGGAAGCATCCACAGTTGGCCATTTCTTGGTGGGTAGAGGGTCTTCTTCTTTCTGTGGAGATAGTTTTTTAAATTCATTTAATCGAAATGTTGTTTAGTTACACCAGTTCACATGTAAATTTTTTAGTACTATTCCTGTTACGGAAAAAATGTAAAAATTATATAAAAATTATATAATTATATATATAAAATGTAAAAATTATATATATAATTATATATACACATACACACACACATAAATTTCAGGTGGAATGCTATAGGCTATGCAAACTATTCTCATTCATATGTTTATTCATACATCATTCTTAAGTTACCCAAAGTTGATCTTTAACTCTGAGCATCATTTGCTTTTTGCAAATATACTTATTATTTCATACTTTAAAAGATAAAGCATTAAAGTTAGGACAGCATTTTCATAAGCATTTAAAGTATGAGTATACATAAGTTTGAGCTCTTAAATTTGTTGTGAAAAGATAGTTGAGAATCATTGAAAACACATAATACCAGTACATTTTTTATTTTATGTTAGTAATATGAATTTGAGTAACAGAGTAATATAAAAAGCAATAATCACTTTCAGGAAAGAAATACCATCTTTAAACTACTGTAGGAGATCTTGGGACCTTCTGTAATAAAACAAGTGACATCAAGACTATGACTATATTGCCATAAAAAGTAAGTGTTATCTTCTTGTTCCATCTTGAGGGCCAGTCTGTATCTACCAATGTAAAAAGGTCTCATTTTCTACCACATGAAAGAAATGGTAAGATAAAAAATAACAACTGGGCTTCATCAAACAAAAAGTCAATAGTTTTACTTGCTTTTTTAAAGTGACAAATGGAATTTAAAGTTTTTAATGACATGTAATTTATCAAGTATAATATCTACATATGAAGGGAAATATCCATCTCTGTTTACTAAACATGCATTTACCTCTTCAGGTGCAGGAGGAGGAGGTGGTGGAGGATCTTTGATAACCTATCCAAAAACAAAATAAAATAAAATGTGAAAAAGTTCCATGAAATAAGGATGAAATGATAAAGATACATAAAAATAATTAGATTGGTGAAATACTGTGGCAATTCCGAAGATGACCCAATGAATTTTGCCTCCTAAAATCCAGGCCTCTTCTTTTGAATATAGGCTTGCATATTACCAAGCTTTTGACCAACCTCATGACTTTTGAGGAGGGGTCAAAAGCTTTCTGTCTTCTCTTGACACCCTTGTGACACTCACTCTGAGAGAATTCTGCTGTCACAAGTTTGCCTTATGCCCTCAAGTTGTATGGAAGCCCATGCTGATGATACAGCAGGGTTGGCTGGTGGCAGAGACAGTGGCTAGCCTCTAGAAGCTTCAGCCATCCCTGCTGGTAAGTCAGACATGTGACAGGAGAATTGGTCGAGGACAACCAGACACACTGAGCCTGCAGATAGCTCCAGCTCAGCTGATACTCACTGGGACTGCAAGCGTTTTCTAAATGAACCTGGCTTATTCTCAAAAACATAAAGATACTAAATTGCTAGAAGATAGTCTGAGCAGACCAATGCTTTAGTCAAGATTTCTTTCCTGTGCATGGTTTCTCAAGAAATCTTACACGGTCAGTTATCTCTGTGAGAGAAATGGAGTCAGTCTTAATTTGGAATGACCTTACTGGTCTAGGGATATCTGACATTGACCTCATTATACTAGAAAATATTTTCCCAAGTTTCAAGCTTCTGATAACTTGGATACATATGCTTGTCTCTACACTAAGAAGAAAAACTGAAACTGCTTTACTTCATCTAATGTCAAATGTTTCAATTACACTAATTTTTTAATTTTTAAAACAACAGTGATTTGAAAATGAGGTGTCACATCTACCTCATCAAGTAATCATTATTACTATGTAGCAAGTTACCATTTATCATGTCTATGTCTTTTTAATAATCACCTTGTAAAGGTAACATAAATGTTTCCCCATGAAATGGTACAAATCTAGTATTTTCATCAAAATTGAGATAGGAAAGCGGATGAGGATATAAATAAAATAAAATACAACATGCTGAGAAAGCTGAGTAACAAAGATCTGAGGGTTCTCTGTATAAGTTTATTTCATAAATATTTGAAATTTTCCATAATAAAAGGATGTTTAAATTTTAATATTATTTGTAATGTTGAAAGAACTAGTCTCAAATTATCTAAATGTTTATTGTTATCATTCAGATTTTAGCTTAGAGCTAAATCTTAGGGAAATAACCTACAAACAATAATTATAATTACACAGTAACAGAATTTGATTGAATCTCTTAATCCTACAAAAGAGTGCCATTATTTCTTTTAAAATCTTTAATTCTATTAGTAAGCACATAATTCTAGCACTTTTATAATACTGACGGATAATAATCTGTAACTTTTTTAACAATCAGCTGAGGAATACATGGCAGGGGAGATTATGATTTAAAATAATAATGTAATCAAATAAAACAAATTTAAGGTAATTAAGCTATAGGAACATTTTCTTTATTTAAAAAGGAAGTACTTATCATTATCAACTTATGTGATAAAAACAAGCAGTAATATCAGATCTGTCAGCATTTCACACTTTACTGGTAAAATCAATCCAGTTACTTTTATTCACAAACCAATGTTCCTTCCCAGGTTTCTTGTTTCTTTCAAGCAGATGGGGCTGGCTAAGGATATAGCTCATTTGTCTACCTGGCAAGTGTGAGGTCATAAGTTCAATCCCAGGTACATAAATACATAAATAAACAGTCAAATAGATTATTCTTTCCAGGTGCAGCCTTAATATGTTGGCATAACTATAATTTCTTTCTCACTTCCAAGCAACTCTACCAAATAGTTTCAAGAGATTTTTTGAAATCTCTCCTTATATCTAACTCCTTTCTCTCCATGAATTCACCACCTTTCCAAAACAGATTATGATTCTCCTGAAATGCACAAATATTTCTCTGCTCTTCCCAGAATTTATCAAAGTTGACAATTTTATGTGGCTCCAAAAATCTGTAGATTCCATAAGAACAGGTTTTGTGTCTGCCTAACTTCTTGCTGCATTCCCAGTACTTGGTAGTGTCTGGCACAAGTACGACTTTCAGGGAAGTAAGGGAGGAGGAGAAAAGAGAATTTAGAAAGAGAGAAAGATTAGAGAGATAAGAAAAGAAAAAATTAGAAAAATATGAAAAAAGAGAAGGAGGGAGAGAGAAATGCAGGGAGGAAGGAAGAGAGGGAGAGAGGAAGGGCATGGAGAATTCAGAAGAAAAGGAGAAAAGGATTTTTTTTTTATTTCATTCCCATCATCACCACCTAGTATCAAGAAATGTAGGATACTGCGTATTGTAAAAGTGTCTCATTCATTTTCAACTGCTCCAATGAACACACAACCAAATTCCAGTACCCTGAGTAATTCCCACCAAATTGCATGTCTGAACTGTTTCAAAAGAAGAAATTCACTACCTTACAAAGAAACTGCCAAGCGACTCATTATTTCAAGGTTTTTTTCCCCCAAACGAAGCCTTTCTCTTTATCTATATTTTCCACTCTGTAGTCTTGTTTCTAAAATCTGGGAACACAGAAATACAGAGACACAAACACATACACACCCACCACATAACTTTTCTATAAGAGAGTATTTCTAGTTTTGAATACTAGGATGACTACCACATTTCTGTTGAGTTTGTCCACTTGGTAATTGTATCAGCCATTTCTCATGAAATGTTCTGAAGTACTTCACTGTCTTGTTCAGTTTCTCCAGCACTTATCCTTTTGTCACTATCTTAAAGACGGTCTGCAGCACCGACCACAGCATTTCACACATGGCTGAGCCCATGGAGCTGTATGGTGCTCGGGCAAAGCAGATGCACACTCATCAGTCCTTGCCTTTCCCATTCTAAGCACTGTCCTTAACAATACTGAAAAATTGATAGGCTATAATTGTCATAGCCTTTTTGGCACCAGTAGCTGCATGATGTACATGTAGTTAAATCAAACATTTAGCTTGACTTTTTATCTCTCATTGTAACCTACGCAGCCAGGCCAATATTCTTCTAACAGAAGCATAAGCACTCATTTCCTTAAGGCAAAAGGGAAGAATAGTTCTCATCCCAACAATTCAAATCAACAAATTACTGAATTTTATTAAAAGAGTATTTCAACTCATACTTTCCCTTTTAGTTTTGTGAATTATCATATCATACTCCCTGGAGTTCCCACTAGAGAAAGATCAGTTATATTCTGTCATTCCAAAATAAAGATAAATTGATTCTCTTTTTATTGTGAGAATTTCATATTCTATTCATATTCTCCTGCTATTCTTTGTGCATCTTGCACTGATATATAAACTTCCAAAAAAAAAAAAAAAAGTATTCCCAACTCTGCTCTATTCTCCTGAAAACACTGGATGCTCCCCTCTGTAACACTTTCTTCTTAATGTAACACTCATTGTCCTATATAGATATAGCTTAGTACTGATCGTGGAAAAGTTAAATTTCAGTTTTAAATCTTCGTATGATCAGTTCTGTCACTCACAGAAGGATCAAGAGTGCCATCATTGAATTCTTTTACTTTACGGGAAGGTCTTTTGTCTAAGCTACAAAGTGAAAAGTTAAAGCCTCTTTTTAGAACATCTACATGCATCAGCTCTTCTATGCTCACTATTCAAATGTCTCAGCATCAGGTTTGGGTCCCTCCACAGTTCAGCCTATCATCCTACCTATACACATCCACATGGACCTTTACTTCAACCAGACTGAGGACTCCTCTGCTTCCCTCAAATATAATGACCATTTTTCCATGTTAGGGATCATTCAGTCTTCACAGAACAATCCACCAACTTTATGAAGAAGATTTAGAACTTCTAAATATACACATATACATATATATTGCACAGGTAAACAATTCATGCTTCACTACATCATTATTTTATAACTTCTATTTTTTATTTTTAATAAATAAATAATAAAAACAATGGTACAAGATTTCAAAGTAAGATTGTAGAAGAGTAACAATGGATAGTACATTGTGCAATGTTATCTTCAAAGTAGTTGCTTATATTATGATACAGGCAAGAAAAATTGATCAGAAAATATAGGTACAAATCTTGCTTTTCAATGAACTAAAAGCAAATTAGTAGCATAACTGTCTTAATTATTTTGTGTATATATAGCTATAAATTTTTCCCTTACCCTTCTTTTCTCCTTTCCTCCATCCCACTTTCTCTTTCCTTTAGAACAGTTTCTCCCCATTTCACAGTATCTATTTATTTATTTACTCTTTCAGCTTCTCACACTAGGGAGACAATATGATGTTTATATATGTCAGTCTGATTTATTTCACTTGCAAGTATGGTCTCAAGTTGCACTCATTTCCCTATTAAAGACCCCAGATTATCCTTCTTTATAGCTGAGAAGTACTGCAGTGTACAAATATACATTTTCTATCCATCCCTTGTTTGATGAACATTTGGCTGTTTCCAAGATCTGGCTATTACGAATTGCTCTGCTATAAACGTGGATGCACATATATCACTGTGGTATGATGGTTTCAATTCTTCCACAAAAATATCCAGAGGGAAAAGCTGGATCAAATGGGACAATTTTCAAACAAAACCCTATTGTGGGGTTGGGTCTTTAAATTTGAGGGGTTTAATTCTTTGCAATTCTTTATATGTTCTAAAAATGATTCCATTGTCTAGGAACTCGCTTAAATTTTTACCCACTCTGTGAGTTGTCTTTTCACTCTGTTTGTGATTTCTTTTGCTGTACAAACATTTTTAGTCAGTTGAGATCTCAGTTGTTTCTTTGAAGCATTTTCTGTGCTGTGTGGGTTTTGTTCAGGAAATCTCTGCTTAACCTAAAGCCTTCAAGATTCTTACCTATTTCCTTCTCCAGCAGATTTACTGCTTCTGTATTAATATTTAGATCTTTGTTCTATTTTGACTTTAGTTTATTGCATGGTGGTAGACGCGGGTCTGGTTTTAGTTTTCT